GCTTTTTGGGTTAAAAGAATTTCTTAATATGAAATTCGAAGAGAATGAAAATTAGATTAGACTGTGCAGAAATTGAAATCTACACGCTAATACACACTACTCATAGTTACCAATGCTGATGTTGTTAACATTAATAATTTGAGAATAAAGTATAACAATAATAATAATTTGAATGGTTTGATGTGATATGAGCTAACCGATCTTTAGATTTAATCACCATTGGTGGCGAGATTTATTGTAATGCTTTTTTCCTCAGTTGGTCAGAACAAACGTGGCAGACTTGTTACTTGTTCAGATGGCAATATACGGTGAAAATTCTTATTTGGGTCATATTCCAAGACGTAGGCTAGAATCTGTGATTGCGAAGTACTGTAAATATCCACACCGGTGCGGTGACAGCCACACATACTCTTCAGAACATTAGATTCATCAGCGCTGGAGCCGTGCCGACTCACAACCCACGCAAGCTAGATAACTCTGCACACAGCTGCAATTCCAGGTTTTCAAACAGAGATGGCGACAAAGAGGCTAAACTTACAGACTGCAGCTTTAACAGTCATGTTGACTGAAAGGAAAATCCTGAAAATTTGACTTTTGCTCTAATCCAAAACCTAGTGAGCTGCGTTTTTCTGATTATTAATGCATCATGTTGTTATCTTAGCAACATGCTAACACCCAAAACATGGCTGCCTCACATGAAACATTCACTGTTTGATACGGCTACCCAGCTAACAAGGAACATTCTCAGAATCTAAATGTTATGAAGAAACGTTCTTCCAGTACTGTTATTAGAATGTTTGTTCAAAGTTATCAAGTCTTTACTGACGTTCTCAAAATGTATTTAACATTTTACTTCTGAAACATTTTAGTTGGAGATCTAGCGTTTTTTAAATGCTACTATTTGTTTCAAAATGTCAAACATTCAAAAATAGCATTCCATAATGTTTGCCCTGTACTGTTCGTATGACCTAGAAATTTTTTTTTTTTAATGTATAAAAACATTTGGAAAGAAAACATTCAAAAATAACGTTTTCATAATGTGATGAAACGTTAGCAAATGTTCTTAGAGCATATTTATGTTAGCTGGGGATTAGCATAAAAAAGTTACTTTTACATTCATGCCACATTTATTTCTGTAACATTTTAATTGGACGTTCATGTAATATTTTTTTTAATGTTACTACTTGTTTCAGAACATACATTCATGAGTAACATTCCCATAACGCTTTCAAAATTATAAAATGAAATGTTCCCTTAACATTCACATAGCCAAAAAAAAAAGTTTTTAAAACATTTAAAAAACTGGAATGTTTGGAATGTTTAGAGAACAAAGAAACGTTACAGTGATTTTTCAAATTTAAAAAAATTAAATAAAAATGGAATGTTGCCTTAATGTTCACGTTTAAAATATAAATGAATAAAACATTTGAAAATCGAGATGTTTTGAATTCAAAGCTAGCCTTTCCATGCTTGCAAAATTAAAATAATGGAACGTTCCCTTAACGTTTGCAATAAATAAATGAACGAAAACTTTTTAAACTTTTTAAAAAAACTGAAAGTTTTGAATATTCAGAGACCATTTAGAAGTAACATTTTCATAAATTTATGGGAATGTTTGCAAAATGCTCTTAGAATGTATTTTTGTCAGCTGGGTATGTTTTTATGCTAAATTAAATGTTGAAATCTTAAAGAATATGTCACATTTAAACTACTAACACAGGTCAAATGTCTTTGAATGGGTTTCAGTTCCACATCAAACACCTCAGTGGAGATTCTCTCTCTAGAAATTTTGTCTGGAAATGTATGAAGCTGAATAAACAGAACATCCACGGCTAAAATTAGACTTTTAATTTGGGTTCGAGAGAATTTCATGAGAACAAGCGCAGTCAGAATAACAGCCGTAAGTCCGGGACGGAGTGCACTGGAGAGTGTCAGCTAAACGCAGGCCTTTCTCTCCAGACCAAAGCTGATTAAAACGTCCACAAGTGAACAGCAACGTCACATTAAACCCTCGCTTAAATCTCACTGGAGTTACAAAAAAACAGCCTGACATGGAGTTTAAATCTCCTCAAAGCTCTTAGTACACACTTCTGTGAGGTTTTCCATCTGCTGATTAACCAAAAGCATATGATAATTCCTAGTGGGTCATTAGAGGCGTTTTAAAGAACCTCAAACGTTCAGTCCAGCAGCACTGACACCACACTTGAAATGCACATATAAACCACTGCAAAAGGTGAAAAATGGGGAACAGAACTAAATGAAAACCCTGAGGTTGTTTTCTCAATCTTTTCTTGATCATTAGAAATTAACTGAAGAAGAATCATTTTAAAATAACTTACCACTGTAACATTAAATTTGTTTATATTGCATGATCAAAAAATGCCAATCTCATAAAAATAAAACTTTTTTTGCTACATTCTTTAAAATGATATACTGTATATGTGTTTGTGTGTGTTGGATGTAAATTATACACTATATAATATAAAATAAAAATGTACATAAATATTTTTGTATTTTATACAATTAACAAAAATAAAATGTATAAATAAATGTATAAAACGTTAGTCTTTGCAACTTTACAGATCTTCTTTATGCACCAAGAGCTTGTAACACTCCAAAGAGAAAGGAAAACTTGAAATCGCATCATATGACCCCTTTAATATCCTAATGATTTTTAGCATAAAAGAAAAATCTATAATTTTGACCCATACAATGTATTTTTGGCTATTGCTACAAATATACTAGCAAATGTTCTTAGAGCATATTTATGTTAGCTGGGGATTAGCATAAAAAAGTTACTTTTACATTCATGCCACATTTATTTCTGTAACATTTTAATTGGACGTTCATGTAATATTTTTTTTAATGTTACTACTTGTTTCAGAACATACATTCATGAGTAACATTCCCATAACGCTTTCAAAATTATAAAATGAAATGTTCCCTTAACATTCACATAGCCAAAAAAAAAAGTTTTTAAAACTTTTAAAAAACTGGAATGTTTGGAATGTTTAGAGAACAAAGAAACGTTACAGTGATTTTTCAAATTTAAAAAAATTAAATAAAAATGGAATGTTGCCTTAATGTTCACGTTTAAAATATAAATGAATAAAACATTTGAAAATCGAGATGTTTTGAATTCAAAGCTAGCCTTTCCATGCTTGCAAAATTAAAATAATGGAACGTTCCCTTAACGTTTGCAATAAATAAATGAACGAAAACTTTTTAAACTTTTTAAAAAAACTGAAAGTTTTGAATATTCAGAGACCATTTAGAAGTAACATTTTCATAAATTTATGGGAATGTTTGCAAAATGCTCTTAGAATGTATTTTTGTCAGCTGGGTATGTTTTTATGCTAAATTAAATGTTGAAATCTTAAAGAATATGTCACATTTAAACTACTAACACAGGTCAAATGTCTTTGAATGGGTTTCAGTTCCACATCAAACACCTCAGTGGAGATTCTCTCTCTAGAAATTTTGTCTGGAAATGTATGAAGCTGAATAAACAGAACATCCACGGCTAAAATTAGACTTTTAATTTGGGTTCGAGAGAATTTCATGAGAACAAGCGCAGTCAGAATAACAGCCGTAAGTCCGGGACGGAGTGCACTGGAGAGTGTCAGCTAAACGCAGGCCTTTCTCTCCAGACCAAAGCTGATTAAAACGTCCACAAGTGAACAGCAACGTCACATTAAACCCTCGCTTAAATCTCACTGGAGTTACAAAAAAACAGCCTGACATGGAGTTTAAATCTCCTCAAAGCTCTTAGTACACACTTCTGTGAGGTTTTCCATCTGCTGATTAACCAAAAGCATATGATAATTCCTAGTGGGTCATTAGAGGCGTTTTAAAGAACCTCAAACGTTCAGTCCAGCAGCACTGACACCACACTTGAAATGCACATATAAACCACTGCAAAAGGTGAAAAATGGGGAACAGAACTAAATGAAAACCCTGAGGTTGTTTTCTCAATCTTTTCTTGATCATTAGAAATTAACTGAAGAAGAATCATTTTAAAATAACTTACCACTGTAACATTAAATTTGTTTATATTGCATGATCAAAAAATGCCAATCTCATAAAAATAAAACTTTTTTTGCTACATTCTTTAAAATGATATACTGTATATGTGTTTGTGTGTGTTGGATGTAAATTATACACTATATAATATAAAATAAAAATGTACATAAATATTTTTGTATTTTATACAATTAACAAAAATAAAATGTATAAATAAATGTATAAAACGTTAGTCTTTGCAACTTTACAGATCTTCTTTATGCACCAAGAGCTTGTAACACTCCAAAGAGAAAGGAAAACTTGAAATCGCATCATATGACCCCTTTAATATCCTAATGATTTTTAGCATAAAAGAAAAATCTATAATTTTGACCCATACAATGTATTTTTGGCTATTGCTACAAATATACCCCAGCGACTTAAGACCAGGGTCACATTTATAATATAAGATAAAAAATATTTTTATTATAAATATGTTTACATATTAAATGTAAATTGTTTTAAATGATTCTGTGATTCTTTTGCAATTTACCACTGTCAAATTAGATTTATTTTACTTTATATTTTATATATAAACATTTTTTATCTTATATTATATATTATTAATATTATATATATATTTTTTAAAGAGTTTTGCAACTCCTAAATCTACGTTTTTTTAGGAGATTATTGTTCCTTGATCATTGTAATTTTATCTTTGTGATCATTGTAATTTTTTTCTTTCCAATGTATATTCTATCATATTAAGATGTGGTATCTCAGAGATCATCATGGTCTGATGATGCTAGTTTCATTGTGCTGAGGTGTTTTTATGGCTGAAACGTCACGCCGGATCATGTGTTTTTGCATGAGATGCACAGAGCGTGAGCTGCTTTGTAAAGGCATGTGTCGAGATGCTCATCTCACCTGGCTCTGTGCAGTTCTTCTCCTCCGTCACATTGTCAGCTGTGGAGGACATCAGCCGTCGACCCCAGTGATCATGTGATTCCATATCAGACACCTCCACAATCATACCATGACCTGCAAAATCACCACACTCGTCAAATCACCACACAATAAATAAGAGAGTCATGCAGGGTTTGGAACATCATGATGGTGAGTAAATGATGACAGAATTATCATTTGTGGGTGAACTATCCCTTTAAATAGCTTATTTTAGGCTATATTTCTCGAAGATAAGATATTATAAACTTTACAATTATTCAAATGCACAATGACTTTTATCTTATATCTTGGGGTTGCACAGTAACAATAAGCAACAATATGTATGATTATGATATTGTGTACTAGGAACTACTGCAATATTTTGGGAATTCCTTTAGGATATTTTGATGTGGATCTTAAAATGAATATTTTTATATGTATCAAAATTAAATATTATTCATGTTAATTTGAATATTAACCATACATATTGTTGAATTATATCATTGCAAATCATTTTTTCAATCAATATCCTAAATTAATACTTGTGCGTTCATTTACATTAAATATTATTAATATTATTTTAAATATTAAATAAATACAGTATAAATAAATATAAGTATTAATCATTTAAATTATTGCAACTAAAATATTAAATTAATATCTTAAGCACTTTTACATATACTAACATTAAATATAATTAATAGTACTTTAAATATAAAGCATTAATCCATTTTATTATATGCAACTAAATTATTACATTAATGTCTTAAAATTAATACTTGTACATGTATTAACATTAAACATGGAGCTAATATAAACCATACATAAATAGTAAATATGAATAAATATTAATCATAAATATGAATACATTAATTAAATAGATTAAATGTAGAATTAATTATTAAATTAAATGGTTAAAATTCATAAACTCTTTACATGTATTATTACCATTAAATATTAGTCATATTTAAATATTAACCATAAATCAATATAAACATTAAATATCATTTCTACTACCGTCAGCATACAATTAAACACAAATTAATTCTTTATCCACTATACAAGCCTAGAGCAGTTGAATCTCATTAGCATCAGAAAAAATAAAAGGTAGAGCAATAAAGCAGACGACTTGATTATTTAATGTGCTCAGCTTTAACACAAATGAATCATTTTGTTTTCTGGAGGCCAGCAGCATTTGCTCCACAGCAGGTATTTGCTCGATCACAGCAAACTCTGACGAGACTCTCACAGAGCAGCTGAGCAGCTCCAGGACAGAGACACTTCTCAAAGAGCTTCACAACAAAACATGTCAAGAACAAGTGTTCGGGAAATTAGACTGAGATTAGACTTTTTTAGTCAAGTCTATGTCTCTAATTAAGAAAATCTGGGGAAAAGAATATAATTAACGTATAAAATGTGTAAAAGCAGGGAGAGAGGAGAGTGACAGTATTGCTTTTCTTTCCTCCTGGAGCTACAGAAGAAGAGGAGGAAAACAGGATTTGCCTGATTAGAAAGAGAGGGTTGAATATATTCCCTCCGTCTTTGATCTTTCTTTCCTCGGCCATTATGAGAAAAGCAATGAGTCTGACACAAACACATGCTTTACTGTCATGAACAGACGTTTCTGACTGAGAGATAACAGATTTACTATTGTCTGCACGCTATCAGTAATCTTTTAAGCTCCTTGTTTTTATTGTAATTAATGTCTTTGTGTTCGATTACGTTTGAGTTTGAGCTCTGGGTGTGAACGACATCTAGAAGATCAGACTTTTGACTAGATATTACTCGCATATCTACAGAGATTCGAGGAGTTCTGCATGCACATTCGGACAATTTCTATGAATTTTTAACCAGATTTGGAAGGCTGCTATAAAAGACTCAGATGAATAAATCTGGCATGAAATCTGAACACTTGTGCATCTGTGAACAAATAACACGAGTAAAACCAGCCCAGAACATGCTGTGTGACACAGTGTTACTTTAGAAATGATATTATCAGTAAGTCATGGCAACTTTTACATTAGTTTAACTCATCAAAATAAGTTGAATTTCAACTCTTTTTTATGTCATATGAATTTCAACTTGTTTTTTACATCAATGTCAAGTAATTTAAGTTGAAATAACTTGTACAACCAAGCTGATTATACACTCTAAAAATTGCACAGGTGCTGGGTTAGTTTATTTTAACCCAAATGCTGGGTTCAGCCTGTTGGGTCATTTTATTGGGTTATTTTAAATATTTTTACACAGGTGCTGGGATAGTTTATTTTAACCCAAATGCTGGGTTCAACTTGTTGGGTCATTTTATTGGGTTGATTTTAATATTTTTACACAGGTGCTGGGATAGTTTATTTTAACCCAAATGCTGGGTTCAACTTGTTGGGTCATTTTATTGGGTTGATTTTAATATTTTTACACAGGTGCTGGGATAGTTTATTTTAACCCAAATGCTGGGTTCAACTTGTTGGGTCATTTTATTGGGTTGATTTTAATATTTTTACACAGGTGCTGGGATAGTTTATTTTAACCCAAATGCTGGGTTCAACTTGTTGGGTCATTTTATTGGGTTGATTTTAATATTTTTACACAGGTGCTGGGATAGTTTATTTTAACCCAAATGCTGGGTTCAACTTGTTGGGTCATTTTATTGGGTTGATTTTAATATTTTTACACAGGTGCTGGGATAGTTTATTTTAACCCAAATGCTGGGTTCAACTTGTTGGGTCATTTTATTGGGTTGATTTTAATATTTTTACACAGGTGCTGGGATAGTTTATTTTAACCCAAATGCTGGGTTCAACTTGTTGGGTCATTTTATTGGGTTGATTTTAATATTTTTACACAGGTGCTGGGATAGTTTATTTTAACCCAAATGCTGGGTTCAACTTGTTGGGTCATTTTATTGGGTTGATTTTAATATTTTTACACAGGTGCTGGGATAGTTTATTTTAACCCAAATGCTGGGTTCAACTTGTTGGGTCATTTTATTGGGTTGATTTTAATATTTTTACACAGGTGCTGGGATAGTTTATTTTAACCCAAATGCTGGGTTCAACTTGTTGGGTCATTTTATTGGGTTGATTTTAATATTTTTACACAGGTGCTGGGATAGTTTATTTTAACCCAAATGCTGGGTTCAACTTGTTGGGTCATTTTATTGGGTTGATTTTAATATTTTTACACAGGTGCTGGGATAGTTTATTTTAACCCAAATGCTGGGTTCAACTTGTTGGGTCATTTTATTGGGTTGATTTTAATATTTTTACACAGGTGCTGGGATAGTTTATTTTAACCCAAATGCTGGGTTCAACTTGTTGGGTCATTTTATTGGGTTGATTTTAATATTTTTACACAGGTGCTGGGATAGTTTATTTTAACCCAAATGCTGGGTTCAACTTGTTGGGTCATTTTATTGGGTTGATTTTAATATTTTTACACAGGTGCTGGGATAGTTTATTTTAACCCAAATGCTGGGTTCAACTTGTTGGGTCATTTTATTGGGTTGATTTTAATATTTTTACACAGGTGCTGGGATAGTTTATTTTAACCCAAATGCTGGGTTCAACTTGTTGGGTCATTTTATTGGGTTGATTTTAATATTTTTACACAGGTGCTGGGATAGTTTATTTTAACCCAAATGCTGGGTTCAACTTGTTGGGTCATTTTATTGGGTTGATTTTAATATTTTTACACAGGTGCTGGGATAGTTTATTTTAACCCAAATGCTGGGTTCAACTTGTTGGGTCATTTTATTGGGTTGATTTTAATATTTTTACACAGGTGCTGGGATAGTTTATTTTAACCCAAATGCTGGGTTCAACTTGTTGGGTCATTTTATTGGGTTGATTTTAATATTTTTACACAGGTGCTGGGATAGTTTATTTTAACCCAAATGCTGGGTTCAACTTGTTGGGTCATTTTATTGGGTTGATTTTAATATTTTTACACAGGTGCTGGGATAGTTTATTTTAACCCAAATGCTGGGTTCAACTTGTTGGGTCATTTTATTGGGTTGATTTTAATATTTTTACACAGGTGCTGGGATAGTTTATTTTAACCCAAATGCTGGGTTCAACTTGTTGGGTCATTTTATTGGGTTGATTTTAATATTTTTACACAGGTGCTGGGATAGTTTATTTTAACCCAAATGCTGGGTTCAACTTGTTGGGTCATTTTATTGGGTTGATTTTAATATTTTTACACAGGTGCTGGGATAGTTTATTTTAACCCAAATGCTGGGTTCAACTTGTTGGGTCATTTTATTGGGTTGATTTTAATATTTTTACACAGGTGCTGGGATAGTTTATTTTAACCCAAATGCTGGGTTCAACTTGTTGGGTCATTTTATTGGGTTGATTTTAATATTTTTACACAGGTGCTGGGATAGTTTATTTTAACCCAAATGCTGGGTTCAACTTGTTGGGTCATTTTATTGGGTTGATTTTAATATTTTTACACAGGTGCTGGGATAGTTTATTTTAACCCAAATGCTGGGTTCAACTTGTTGGGTCATTTTATTGGGTTGATTTTAATATTTTTACACAGGTGCTGGGATAGTTTATTTTAACCCAAATGCTGGGTTCAACTTGTTGGGTCATTTTATTGGGTTGATTTTAATATTTTTACACAGGTGCTGGGATAGTTTATTTTAACCCAAATGCTGGGTTCAACTTGTTGGGTCATTTTATTGGGTTGATTTTAATATTTTTACACAGGTGCTGGGATAGTTTATTTTAACCCAAATGCTGGGTTCAACTTGTTGGGTCATTTTATTGGGTTGATTTTAATATTTTTACACAGGTGCTGGGATAGTTTATTTTAACCCAAATGCTGGGTTCAACTTGTTGGGTCATTTTATTGGGTTGATTTTAATATTTTTACACAGGTGCTGGGATAGTTTATTTTAACCCAAATGCTGGGTTCAACTTGTTGGGTCATTTTATTGGGTTGATTTTAATATTTTTACACAGGTGCTGGGATAGTTTATTTTAACCCAAATGCTGGGTTCAACTTGTTGGGTCATTTTATTGGGTTGATTTTAATATTTTTACACAGGTGCTGGGATAGTTTATTTTAACCCAAATGCTGGGTTCAAC